TAAGTAACCAAACTAAACATGTTCCATGTAAGTATATAGTTATGATTAGCATTGGTGCCTCTTTCAAAATTGTGAATGCTATTACATCTAGTTTAAAACATGAACCAAAGTCAATCGTTGTAAAGATGTTGCATGATGCTCAAGTAACCTAAAAGGCCATGGGCCTCTTGTTCATTTTAGCGTGCCTTAACGTTTCTGCATATTGTGTTTAAGTGCTTCAATAAAAAAATAGTTGAGAAAAATGTTTTGCTTCTTTTTTATCCTTTATATTGAATTATATTGTAGAAACATTTTAATATAAGAGCAGTGTAATAAACAAGAACAATGTTAGCTTTTAAAAAGGTTCCAATCTAAGTACAGATTTAAGCCAAAAAAGGAAAAAATGTATTTTTGTGTCCCCGTAAACGTAGTTTCGGAGTATATAGTTTTTGTGGTGTCTGGCCGCCCGTCCGTCTGACTGTCTGTTACTCTGTCTGTTTATTCGCAAAAACTCAAACCTTGCCCATAACTTTTGATTTAGTGGAGCTACGTCTTTCATATTTCACATGTGTCTAATTTTTGATCTATTGACCTTGACCTTGGAAATTGACCGACTTTTACACAAAAATTTCCAATATTAAACTTGGCCATATCGCGGGTATGTTAAGGAAGCATATAAGTCATTTTTCGGAAAATTTATACATTTTTAAAGAAAATTAAGTTTGATAATTTAAAAAAAAACCGCTGATAAACGTAAACTATTATTATCTTATGCATAAAGATAAAAGAGTGTCTAAAGCAATGACGTGCACCACCACCACAGCATCACGTGACTTCTATTAATAACGATTTTTTCCTTAATAAAAAAGCTAACAGAACAGCAATACCCCCGGAGTTTGATAATTTCTTTGAGTAAATTATGTTGTTGAAAAAAATCTCTTTTGCCTAAAAGAGCTGCTAGAATCCAACTGTGCCGTCAGTAAATAATTATTCCACACATTTGCACGAAACCTTACCCGATGTTTTGAATTTTTTACATATGAACCCTGATTTTTCATTAAACCATGCTTAACTCGGGATTCCAACAGCACTTTCCAACTATTTTAGGAGGCAAACTTTCCATATGTACAGATCTGATGTTTTGAAATATTCACCTTATTGTTGTTCTGTTGCATTATTTTTGTCACAAATGACAGAGGAAAGGCCGACCGGGATACGTATATAGCTGACTCTCTTCGAAAGAGAATAAACGTATCTTTGTACATGCCTTATTGGCCAAATTCTCTTTACACAGCATTATCAATTCCCAAGTTACTTGATGTACACATATGACGTCATCGGTGGTTGATTTTAATCAAAATGACAGAATACAGCATTACAATATAAGGGCATTTTATTTTTGTTCATGTTTACACGTTTCTATTCATTTTCTAGAGTTGAATTACATCTCTAAATACCAATATTAAGAAAACTTGTGTTTTAAAATTGACGTCATGTCGCCTACTATGACGTCATAATGTAGCACTGATTTAGTCAAGGTAGAATATTTTGTATGCTTCCTTATTCCCCCTGCGATGTTTTGAACAGTATAAATCAGAATATTTATACTTCATATATGTATTCTTTGTTGAAAGAACTCTCATTGGAAACTGTAAAAAAAAAACTAGCCTTTATCATCACTTTTGAATGGTAAGGGATAGGGCCTTCATACTTCTCCGTTATCCTTTGGAAAGCACCCTTCATTGGATACCAACTTGACCCGTTGACCTTGTAGTTAGACTTACTTTTACAAATGAAACCTTGACCATAACTTTTGAAGGGTAAGGGCTACTGCTTTCAAACTTTACATATTTACTCCCTGTGACAAGACCTTTTATATGATTTCAAGACCTTTGACACTTCAACCTTGGAGTTTGACCTACTTTTTAAAATAATTACCTTTCATATAATTTCTGAACGATTAGGGCTAGATCTTCCATACTTTACATATGTATACCTTGTGGCTAGACCTTTCATTGGATACCAATGACTTTGAACTTGAAGATTTCCATTCTTATGAAAAATACTTTAACATTGGCCTATTTCATATTTCACAAATTTTAATCTTTGCTATGTTGCATTACAGGGGCATCAGTGTTTTACAAACACACATTGTCTCTCTTTTAGAGAGATGAATTTTTTAAATATAATTTTTTATCTTTATGTGACAATTTTTCTATATGTGTAAATAAGAAAAAGATGAATTTAAGAAACATATAAAAATAACTTATATATGATAAATATAGGAAATTTGAATTATTTATTTCAATTACATTATTTATGTCAATAAGGTGATATCATCTAATATACCCTATAAGATTTTATGTAAAAAGAAAAGCGTTCAATCTGTAAAAAAAAAAGATTACAACAAAGTGTTTATCATTTTTCAAACTAGACAACTTGTCCACAATTTTATCGGACAACCGTCGTAGATAGGAATTTTTTGTATTTCTTTCATAACCTTTTCTGAAGTGTATACGTATAGGTACGTATGTAAGATTACCTTTTTTAGTTTTGAGGTACTATAAGGTAGAGAATCTGAAAATGTAATTGTCCATGACCTTGCTATCAAATAAATCCGCTGCTACAATAAAAGTTTAAATTTGTTTTCTTGAAAGATTGCAAATGCATGTAAATAATTTTCGATTAGGACCATTTTCTTGTGTGACGCTGGAATAATGATAGCACTTCTAAAATTGCAATTTTAAAGAAAACACGCTGATTTCGATACCTCTGGGGGAAAATGTTTGAGATATTTTAAAAAATATAATATGATTTTGATAGCACACATCGTAGGGATGTTTGTCAAAAGCTTTACCCGGTAATAGAATTGAAAGTTTAAGCTTCTTTGTTAGACATGATATAACGTACACATTTCTTCATAGTCATGATGGTGAAGATTGATTTACTTTCAAAGAAATACCCAGCCGCTACTAGCATGAAAAGTACGTAATTGACCAATTTATTTGAAAGTGAATAACATCCTTTCAATCAAAGGTCTAAATCTGTGAGAAAGTGTTCATTCTTAACAGTGGTCTTTTTTAATCTGATTAAATGTAATTAATTCTTCAAAAATAGGTAAATTAAAATACTTATTTATGTTTACATTCCCTGTAAAATAATCAGTGACATTAGCCCTTTACATTATAATACAGTTATCTTTATTAATTTCACAACAATTTATATTTTTGCAAAAATATTGTTATAATTTAACAATAATAGGACAATTAGAATCAGGATTTAGATATTTATCAAATATTGATAATCAAATAAAGATAATCAAATATGCTCGAGCTCACGTTTTACTGCAATTTAATCATGAGGATCCATTGCGGTATAAAAATAAAGGAGCAATATTTTTAGCAAATTTCTTTACCATTTTCTATCTTATTTTGATATACTATGTATCATTGAATGTCATACTGTCTGTCATAATAGACATTCATATGAAAAAAAAATCAAATAAGGTTCGACAATTAGTGAAATATATGATTTATTCATTTAATTACAGTCATGGGTTTTGCTTTTAGGCAATGCAACTTAAATGACATTTAAATCTACATATTGCTACATTTCAATTTATTCTAGTTTTTACTTCAGCAAATCACATTTGCATTTTAACCAGAATACACATCAGTGCAAATATCTGACAGTATTTCCCCCTAACCTTTTCAGGCACTTTCATTTATATGATAATGGAAGGGCTTCAGTGCTCTGTTTTGAATCAGAATCAAAGAAATTTTTTAAAGTCAATTTTTCTTCTTGCTTTAAATGCATATTTACGGCTTGAGTCAAAAACGTCTAGCTAGCACAGTCATTCAACGAGAAGATATTTTTTTTACTCTATATGAGAACTCACCCATCAAAGTTGCAATTGTCTTGAAAAACCTTAAAACAAATAAAACAAAGTACCTCTTCCAGAACCACTTGAAGGCCTTAAAAGACAACAAAATCATGTGCTCCGTGAATGCCTTGTTTAAAAATGTGAATATGTTTTGTCATAACACCGAGCCTCTTTACCAGTTCATAGGGGGAGAAACCAGTCCCATATTCATTTGTAGCAAAACATCTCCAAAATACAATTCAATTCATTGGTCTCAATCCTGCTCTGTACAAAGGCCATAGTTTCAGGATAGAAGCAGCTACACATGCCGCGAAGTTAGGTTTTTCGGAAAACAGTATTTAAAAAATGGGCCGATGGAACTCAGATGCAATTCGTAAGTATGTACGACTCGAAAGCTTTAAGATACAGTAACTTTGTCAAAAAAAAAATTGCATAACTATTTTTGTTGGAATAAGAAGTAAGTACAGGTTAACTACTATTTTTCAAGAACTCTAGACATGTGGTGTTTTTTTCAATCCACAAGGTCAGAAGTAAACGGCTAGGGGATTGAAAAAAAAACATTTATTACAAGTGCACAGGTCAGAAGTAAACTGCGGTGTAACTGAAACTATACACAGGTCAGAAGTAAACTGCTATGTAACTAAAACTATACACAGGTCAGTAGTAAACTGCTATGTAACTAAAACTATACACAGGTCAGAAGTAAACTGCTGGGTGTCTTAAACTATACACAGGTCAGTAGTAAACTGCTGTGCAAACAGGTTTTCATGTAAATATATAGGGATGTTTATATTTGGAAAATGTTTTTTGCCTTGTTATTCACATATATGTGTAGTGCCATGTATTATTTAATTATTATTTATTTATTTTCAATAAATGACAATTCACACAATTCATTGGTTAATATACTCCGGTTTGGCTAATTCCCCGATGGACGCCAAATACACATTACATATGAAATGTTTAGATTTTAAGAAAACAAAATCTCTGGTACTACAAAACACATGATTACATAAATGCTATTATTTGACAATAATGCTGTAATAACTACACAATGTAAATATGCTATAGCCAAACTTTAGATCTTTGCTATGTAATGAAAGAGAAAATGAAGCTCGAAGTTGAAAGAAAATTTCTCTTAGACAGGGTGACGTTTTAAATAAAAGCTACCATATTCAATTAATTTTTCTATGATCGCATTGCCCACTGTTATGCCATCCCCACCAAAATAAGAATAAGCAACCATAGCTGCAATTTGAATGGCGTACATTGTATACATATTGAAAATGTATGCCCTTATTTTTTCTCTCCTATCTTCCTCATTGGAAGTGTCACCAATAAAGTCGAGGATTTTACTAAGATAACTAAATAACTTTTCTGTGTTTGAACTGAGTTTAGATTCAAAGAATTCAGGGTTGTTTTCCTCTTTAATTTTTTCGACAATATCTAAAAGTTTGAGAACATCCTCTTTTTGATCTTCAAGGTTATAAGAGTAATCAATTGCCATGTATCGCTTCTTAATTGCTTTTAAAAGTTTTTTCATAGAGTGGTTCTCTGGAACTTTTTCTACAATTTTTTCTAAGCTACTTTCCTTCTCTATTCTCTTCTTTTTTGTAAAAACTAATACCAAATAATCATGAAATGTCTGTCCAAAATATTTCTCGTATTCATCTAACACTCTTTTATCTTCTTTTGTAAACCTGCCAGGTTCAATGATCATCACAAAAGCATGTGGTCCTGGAGACACCATTGTGTATGACTTAGTTATTTCTGTTAGCACCTCTGACGTACTTAAGCTGGTATCCTCTAGCCCTGGGGTATCTACCACAACAAGCTTACGGCCAAATCGACAAGTTGTATGATATGATGTTGTACGTGTCTCAGACAACATACCGATATCTGTTTTGAAAGCCTCTTTTCCCAATATAGAATTTCCTGTTGCACTTTTACCAGCTCCTGTTTTCCCAATTAAAATTATACGAGTTTCCTTCTTCATACATGTTCCTGCAAAAATGATATTTATAAGCCACTATATTATGTTTTGCATGTTCACTAAATAATTTTTGATTTTTTAATTATTTCATGTTGTTTTAAAGAAAAAATACAAGTTGTTGCGATTATTAATATTTGGAATTATTGTAAAAATAATGGGTACATAGGAGCACTTTTTGTGAATACTAAAACGTCGCGCCCACTAGTGGGAATTTGCAACCACTATTGAAATAATTATTTCAATAGTCGTTGAAAGTGAATTTCAATAACAAACATAGTATGCAACCAGTATTAAAATTCGACCACTATTGAAATAATTATTTCAATAGTGGTTAAGAGTAGAGATTTAGAAATTAGAATATCTAGATTACATTGAAATGAGAGGAAAAACTGCTAATCTTGTGTAAAACTTTTTGATGAAAAAATGGATGTTTTTAATAAAAAGATTTAGAATAAAACGAAATTGTTGCTCACATTCATGGGATTACTTGCACTTCATATACGAATAGTAAAGCCAATGTCTGCTCGTCAAGTCATTAAAAAACTAATTTCTGGGGAAGTTAGTATTAGGTTTATTAAAGTGTTTGTGTTATTTAAAAAGTGATTTAAATGTGGTGGTACGGTGTTTTGAAACGTATTTTCATCTTCGTTTAAAATAGTCATTAACCAGAAGTCGTAATTTTAATAGTATACTCAATACTCAGTAAATGAATATAAAATGTTGGAAAACATAAAGAACCATTAATCCTTGTATTTTTTAACAGCCGAGTTATTTCAATAAGTCTTGCAATGTGGTTTTAGTATTAATTATGAGCAAATAACAGAATAATTATTTCAATCACTTTTGAAATCATTATTTCAATACTATTGAAAACTTTATTATAAAAGTGAACATTTTTTCAATTTTGCAACCCATATTTGGTATTGCAATGCACTCCGAACTACTATTGAAATAATAATTCAAAAAGTGGTCTGATTTCATGAGTGGTTGCAACCTATGTTTGGTATTGAAATGGACTCTCAACCACTATTGAAAAAAAATATTTCAATAGTGGTAGTATTTCAATAGCGGTTACATACTATTTTTATTATTTAATTGCACTCTCAACAACCATTGAAATTATTATTTCAATAGTGCATAGCCGTATTTCAATTGTGGTTGCATACTATGTTTGTTAATGAAATGCCGGTTTCTCATCGTATACCCTATCGTTGAATAATGTGACTGATACTTAAAGAATATTTACTAGATAATAAATTCGCTTGATAAAGTATAAGTCACATTATCCAACGATGGGGTATACGATGAGAAACCGATGCGTTTTTTGATGAAAATGGCGTGGTTGCCGGCCGGGCACCACTAGTGATCGGAAGGTGACTGAGTCTTTTTTTGCGAATCGGTGGGGTCATCGGTAGAAAATAATTCGTAGTTAAAATTCGGCGATGTCTCCAACGATGCCTCACATCGCTCCTCATCGGCAACTCATCATTAACACATCTTTCAAGAATCGGCCGATGTATGGCCGAGCATCGTCCAATATCCGTTGAATCTGAGGTCATCGGGGATTTTAGTGGTGTTCAACAGATAACGACCGATCATCGGTCGATGTTCGACCAAACATTGGCCCGTAGTCAACCGATGTGCCAACAATGTTCACCAATGTATGAGCGATGTAATATACATCGGCCGATTATCCTGCAACATCGTTTTATGATTAGCAATGCATCGCTGGGCCTTTGTAAGTCCTGTCGGCAACCACGCAATTTTTCTCATAAAACGCATTGGTTGCCCATCGTATGCCCCATCGCTGGATAATGTGACTGATACTTTAAGGACTACCAGGCCGATGTGGACCGATGTTAGGGCATCGTTAACACCACGGATTACTACCGATTACCACCGGGCTACGGCTACCGGAAATGTGAACTAGGCATAAAACTAAAATGATTATTGAAATGCCTCAGTCAACATGTTAACAGAATTTAAAAGAAAATGTAAAAAGCAAGAATTTTTAGAGAGTGATGTCGACATCTAGTTAATTTGATGAAAACACTGTTACATGTAATGAATGGGACGTTTCCGGTACTTTTTGTGTACTTAAGAAAATATTCTGCAGATACATTAGAGCATGATGCTATGATTAAAGAGTATAAAAATGACACCGATGTATTGTGTAAAATTATATATATTGTCGAACTATTTTTAAACATAATCGGGGCAATTTTTTTATTTACATTTTTGAGGAGTTATTTGCAATTCTACTATAGTTCTGTACGTATTACAATTTTCAAATAAAGATCAGTAAACAATACTATTATTTCTTATGAAGGGGGCATTAATTTTTTGTACTTTTCCCACATGATTATATTATTACATACTAGTATTATCCTACAACTCTTACGAATTGGTAGGTGATTTGAGGCAAAACTTAACTGTTAATTTCCGGTTTTTACTGCAAATCATTCTATTAGAGATGGTTTCAAGTCAGATTATTTGTACTTTAGACAAGTCTCTTTGCTTAAAATTTCACAATATTTTTATGATACAGTTCTGACCTATTTGCATCATGTTGGTGTTCAAAGCTGAGATTCCTTATTTTATTAATTTAAGCATCATTTGTTCTCAATTGTCCTTTGAATTGATGTACAGTGATTAATGTCGTTCTATAGAACGATTGTGTAATTTAATGATTTGGTTTGGCTTGTTTGTCTTTTTTAAATTCCAAATAGCATGATTACAATAAATCAAGCTATACATTGGCTGTAGTCAGATAATCACCCTTTTTTCTTTCTTCACTCGTAGGGACTTTCTTGTTTAACAGTGTGTATTTAAGGACTCGCTATCTAGTTAGTAGAGTACGAGAGGGTATCAACGATAACGGACTAAGAATGTTTTGCATAAATTCCAATTATCGTTGATGTATGTAGTATACCTTACTACATTTAGGTAAACAGTGATTCTTAATATATCCATTTCTCAGTAAAATAAAATTTTAAATTAAAATATTTTGTAATAGTTTTAAATTACACGAGGTCTCCCATGTCAATTTCAATTACTCGCCGTCTGCCGTCAAACATTAAAGTATAAGTCACATTATCCAGCGATGGGGTATACGATGAGAAACCGATGAGTTTTTTGATGAAAATGGCATGATTGCCGGCCGGGCACCACTAGTAATCGGACGTTGACTGAGGCCATTTTGCGAATCGGTGGGGTCATCGGTAGGAAATAATTCGTAGTTAAAATTCAGCGATGTCTCCAACGATGCCTCACATCGCTCCTCATCGGTAACCCATCATTAACACATCTTTCAAGGATCGGCCGATGTATGGCCGAGGATCGTCCAATATCCGTTGAATCAGAGGTCATCGGGGGGTTGAGTGGTGTTCAACAGATAACTGCCGATCACCGGTCGATTTTCGACCAAACATTGGCCCGTAGTCGACCGATGTACGAACGATGTTCACCAATGTATGAGTGATGTAATATACATCGGCCGATTATCCTGGAACATCGTTTTTTGATTAGCAATGCATCGCTGGGCCTTTGTAAGTCCGGCCGGCAACCACGCCATTTTTATTATATAACGCATTGGTTGCCCATCGTATACCCATCGCTGGATAATGTGACTGATACTTTAAGGACTACTAGGCCGATGTGGACCGATGTTGGGGCATCGCTAACACCACGGATTACCAACGATTATCACCGGTCTACGGCCACCGACCGAGAAATGTGACCTAGGCATAAGACAGCTACATGAGATTTACATGCATATAAGGCCCTTTATACACTTTTGACCTTTCACGTAGAGAAATTTACATTACAGTTGATTGATCAAAAGCTACTCCTGTAACTTTCAAAGGGTAATCGTAGACATACAGTTAGAACCATAAATATCTAAATATGTCTCTGAAGTTTTTTTTTCTATCTAAATGTATATTGGTGTTCCCTTATCTTTTATCAAATAAAATATACACACAAATATTTACATTTAATGAATATGGGTATGAAATGTAGTAAGTAAGTACATAATTATGATAAACATGAGTGCTTCTTTAAAAATTCTGAATTTTATGGATCCAGGATTAGGGGTTCCAGTGTAAGGGCGGGGCTCTCTTGATTATATAATGAAAATACATCAATTCTTTGAAAATCTTCTTCTCTACTCCCTGGGATTAAAGAAACTAGCAACGTTCATAGTAATGGTAATCAGTAATGCTTATTGCACAGTTAATTTTTGGCCCAAGTATCAGGGGTGCTGGTGTTAGGGCGGGGCTCTATTGATTATATAGTGAAAATACATTAATTCTTTGAAATCTTCTGCTCCTGGGGATTAAATTAACTAAATAAGTACATATTGTGATGAGCTAAGTGTCTCTTTCAAAATTGTAAAATTTCATGGTCCCGTGGACAGGGTTTTGTTATTTGGTTTAAGGGGGTGGGTCTATTGATTTTATAGTGAAAATATATTAATTCTTTGAAAATCTTTCCCTTTGTGTCTGGGTACATGTATTATGTCAATGATCTAAGTATATATGTTTACGAAGAAAGGTGCATCTAGCAAAACGGTTAATTTCATGCCATCTGAGTCAGAGGTATCGGGGAGGGGGTAGGGGGGGTACATTGTCTGAAAATAAATTAATGCTTTGAAATCTACACTGTTTTATTAATCAACATTTTATGATGAATAAGATTTGTGATAAAATTTCCAAATTTTTTAAATATGTGGCTCCAGGGTCAATGGTTTCCGTGAAATGGTGTGCATAACTGGTTAAAAAGTATGAGTACATTTTTTCTTTACTCTGATCTACTTTTCGGTACATGTATCACATGTAAGTAACTAGAGTAAGTATGCTATAAATGTAAGTGTATAATTATAATAAGCAATAATGCCTCTTTTAAAATTTATTTTGAATCTTATGGCCTCTGGTTTAAAACGTGAACCAAATTCAGTTGTTGTAAAGTTGTTACATGATACTCGGGTGACCTATACGGTCCATGGGTCTCT